ATCATCTCTATTATATTAACATACCATATACCAATTTACTGAAAATTCAGGCTTCTTCATATGGGGAAATATTGATAAATAGAAATATTTCAATTGACTTCCTAATATTAGAAATTTACCATGTTTTTTCTTACTTACTGAATTTAAGCATTAAGGACATACTGCCTTTAAACTTTGAGGCTTGGGCTTGACTTCTTACTATGTTATCTAGAATAACAGTGGCTCATGGTCAGAGGCAGCACTGTGGCTCCTGTCAGTAACATCACTTTCTTATTTGTGTAAATATAGATTACATGGCCTTGAAATCACACAGCAGGGGATACAGAACTTCTTCCATGCAAAGGTTTGAAACTCCTGGATTTATTCCACAATGTCTATGTGATGTCTTCAGGAGCATAACTCAATAAAATCCAGGCCACCCTGACATCTGTGTTGATCAAACCATTTATTCCTGTGCCATTCAGCAGTCAGTAGCAGGGGCAGATGGCAGGTGAAGGAGCAATCCCTGTTTGTCTCTTACCCTTAGTAGCCTCATTTATGGGAAAAAATAAACATGCCCTTTGAGAAGTGCTCATTCTTACCAGTTAGGGTCACCTTTCCTATTACCCAGCTATGGTGTCTCAAATAGAAAAATACAGTGGATAAATGACAGTTATTTCGGTGTTTCTTATCCTTTCCATGTTCTGTGCAGGTGTGCACCAGGCTATTTTGGGAATCCCCAGAAGTTTGGAGGTAACTGCCAGCCATGCAATTGTAACAGCAATGGCCAGTTGGGCACTTGTGACCCCCTAACTGGAGGTAAGTTCAATGCGCATCCCCGCTGAACTTTAGCTCACAAATTTCCTTCCCTTGACAGTCCTGGGAATGCTTGCATAATAGTTGTGGCTTTGAGGAACAAATACTTCAATTAGTTGTTTGTTTTTTTTTTAAGTAAATTGTTTTAAACCCCAATGAGTTATAGATCAGAAAACTTTAGACCCACTTCCTGGACACTGTTGTTGTTTTTAACAACATTATTTTAAAGATATGTGCATGTGTCTGTCTTAGAGTGTACACATGAGTGCCAGTATCAGTGGGGGTGAGAGGCATAGAATCCCCCTAGAGTGGAGTTACAGTTAGGACACCTGATGTGGGTGCTGGGACTTGAACTCAAGTCCTTGGCAAAAGTAGCTTTTTACCATTGAGCTCTTTCTCTACCCCCATTCTACAGTTATTTTTATATCAGCTCTTTTTTTTGTCAACCTGAAGAAATTAAAGTGTTCTTTCTTTCTTATCTATACAAGTTCTGGGATGTGTTCAAGTCAGAGGTATGGATATTATATACTGTGTGAAAGATAATTTGTCACAGTTTTTATGAATTCATTCAGAAAAAAATTGGAACAAAATAGAAGAATATTCATTTCTGTCATAGAAAATGCTGAAAAGATGCATTAGGAAAGTGGCAACTTAGGTGAAGTGTCTCATCTTATAGTTGTGGGCAAATTGAATAACTAAACCTGGAATGTGCGGATTATAGCCCTTCAAGCAACTGTCCCCAAAATAAGACAGAACAAATGGGTTAACACCAGTTGTTAGATTGGGGCAAGCACTCAGAAGTTCATGTCTAGCCTGGACAACTTAGAGAGACAAGGGACTGGAGATGTCTCAATGGGTAAGAGTGCTTGCTGCTCTTCCAGAGGACTTGAGTTCAGTTCCCACCCTGCATATCAGAAAGCTCAATTATAACTCCAGCTTCAGGGGATCCAGTGCCCTCTTCTGGCACTCACAGGTATCTACATCAATGAGGCATGATGTGTACGCATGTATGCACATGTGTGCATGCACACACAGAGACAGACAGACACACAAACACACATACTAACACACACACACACACACACACACACACACACACACAAACACACACACACACACACACACACACACACACACACAATAAAATGAAAACAAATCCTAAAAAACAAAAATAGTAACTAGAGTAACAAGAGGACTGAAGATGCTGCTGAGTCGTAGAGTGTTTGGCATCTTTAAGATCCCAAGTTGAATCACCACCAAAAGAGAAAAAGGAAAGAAAGATACACCATTCCCGAGAAACACCCTTCTTAGAAAAGAAATTAGTAATATATAGTGAAGGAGGCCACCAAGGAAGTTCATGCTCATGGCAATGGCATGGTTAAAGTGGAAAGTGGGGGCAGTGATGCTTTTATGACAGGGTGACTAAAACCCTCCAAAATGGACTTTTCTACAATCAAGTTAAAAGGTAGATAAAGAACAAGTTAAATAAAAATGTCTGTTTTTTCCTTCCGATTTTAGACTGTGTAAGCCAAGAACCCAGAGATGGTAGTCCTGCAGAAGAATGCGATGGTAAGAAAAGAAAATCCCTCCCTGCTCTTTCCAAACTGTGTTTTATTTAAGACGTGTGAGTGCTGTCCTAAGATGGGCACTTTGTAGTTGGGAAAACAAAAGTGAGAGTACAGGGAAGGACGATATTGGCTCAAATCCTGCCCCTGTCAACTCTTACCACCAGCAGGCCTCCTTACCTCTCCAAGTCTCAGCTTACAGATAGACTGGACACAGAATGCCTACTTCATACAACTCCTGGGGACTGTCTTCGGATGTCACATTGCTTAGCCTAGTATCTAATCATCTGTGTGTAGTGGCACATGTCTGTTGTCTCATCACTTGGGATGCTGAGGCATGGGGATCCCTGATTTGAGGTAGCTTGGGCTACTTAATGAAACCCATTCTCAAAAACAATCAACAAAAATAATCACTAGCAGACACCCCAAGACCAAATGGTAATCACTATTATTTTCCCCACACACAAAATAAGCAACGAGCTGCTAAGAGTCGCTATTTCTAATAAAAATGCTCTCGCACATCCAGTTCTTACTTCTTTGGAGTACACATTCCTCCCTGAGCTACCTAGGGCTATGACTTCTACCTGTGATAATCGGTGTTTGAGGAGACAGGCTACAGCCCTAGTCTTCTCTATGCCTTTTCTGGGCTCTAGCCTACCTTGTAGTTGGCTTTCACTGTGGCCCCTGCAGACTGTGACAGCTGTGTGATGACCCTCTTGAATGACTTGGCCACCATGGGTGAGGAACTCCGCCTCATGAAGTCAAAGCTGCAGGGCCTGAGTGTGAGCACTGGTGTTCTAGAACAGATCCGGCACATGGAGACACAGGCGAAGGACCTGAGGGTAAGCCTTTGGTGGGGATCCAGACTGGTCACTTAGTGAGTGTGGCTGTGCCTTGCTCTCTCTTGAGGAATCAATTCTCTATGGAAATCCAAGCCTGCAGATGCTCACATCTCTAATACAACATGGCCTCATGCTTTCTTAAGACCCAGCCCTCTGACTTGTAAACTTTACATCATTTCTAGCTTACTTATAACAATGAACAAGATTAAATTCCATCCAAATAACCATTCTACTGCATTGTTTAAGAAATGAGAAAAAAATTACTACATGTTCAGTATAAATACTTTTCTAAAATCTTTGAACCCAGTGGAATTCATGAACATAGAACCATGGATGCAGAGAGCTGACTGTAGATTGTGTATAAATGACTGTTCCTTGAGTGAAAGTTGGGATACAGGTGACTCCACTTAAAGATCAAGAGGTTTTCCCCCCATGATGCAAAAGAAAAGTCAATTTTCAATAGTGAGAGATACTCACTGATACATAGGCCTGACATTTGTGAATGCTTGTTCAAAATGGAACACTCCTGAACTTTACCTTTCTCATAGTGTTCAGCTCCAAATCTTACATTCAGAAGACTCAAACACGGGCTTGCTCAAAGCTAGTATAATCCCTCTTAGAATGGTTGCTAGAATTTTCTAGAGAAGTTATTTGAGCCTAGGTGGTCCTTAGATGGTCTTTCTTTTAATAATCAGTAATTTGAATTTGTATAAAAGGTAGTAGAGTCATTAGCTCATTTATTTCTTCATGAGTAAGAGTTGGTGTGGACCCCTTTCAGATAATGGTTCCCTTTCACCCAAATGACCAAATGTACTCACTCCAAATAGTTCACAAGTCCTTTCCTGTTCCCTTAAGATCTGTAAAGTCTACAATGTATTCCCTTGCCATTCCCAGGGCTGGTATTTTTTTTACCTTATCCCTTTTTCTTGATTATCAACTTTGTTGATTTTTTTCTACATCATTGATTTTTCTGTTTTCAATTTTTCTGAATTTACTTTTTATCACTCAAGGCATTAATATTTATTATTATTTATTTTGATACTTTAGTAATTATTTGAGAATTTCTTACAGTATATTTTGATCATATTCATCCTCTTAACTCCTCTCAGGTCAACCCCCACCTTGCTATGTCCCATAACTTCACCTCTTTTTTGTTGTTGTTGTTAAAAAAAACAACCAACCAGTTGACTTCACTATGTGTTACTTCTGAATGTGTAGCCACCACTCATGGCAAACCACATGTGGAGCCACACCTTCAAATAAAATAGACTCTCCCTAATCCAGAAGCCATTGACTGTCGATATTTCCTCAGATGTGGGTGGGGGCTCATGAATCACTTGCCACTCACTCCATGCTGGAATGTTGACTGGCTTGATCTTGTACAGGTCTTGTGCAGATGGCCACAGCTGCTGTGAGGTCATGAGTGTGGTAGTTCTGGCATGACCTGAAGACTGTTCCCTGACTCTGGCCCTGAGACTGGGGGGAGTGGAAACGGGGAGTGGAGGGATACAGGCATCCCGTCTGTGTTGAGCATTCAGATGATACTTATTCTCTGTACTGTGACCAGTTCTGAGTTTCTGTGTTAACCACCAACCACTACAAAAGAAAACTCTGTGATGAGCAGGGATCTGTACTAATCTTTGCTTTGAGAGCTTCAAATTTTGCTCAGGATATGGAGAAATCAAGGGTAGTGGCCAGGAAGCTTCCTCCTTGCTGAGTGACTCTCATAGTACTGGAAGGCCCTCTGCAGTATACTGTGGAGAAAAAGTCATCAACAGTCTTAGCCAGCTCTGAACCTTAAAAACTACAACAATGACCACCATGGCAAGATATGTCCATGGATGCAATAGTGGCACAAACATCATGGATGTGACCAACAAAGGAAGCATATAGCTGGTATAGTAAACCTGGTCAGGAACCAGATTGGGGACTTCAAAGGTGCTACTACTATTAGGCCTCAAGGGTGCTATTATTATTCTGCTAAATGGGCATAATATCAAACTTAACTGATTTCTGCTCTTACCCACATATTTCATTTCTTCTTTCTACATTCTGTGGAATAATTTGCTATACATTTTCTGTTTCTTATGATCAAAGTTTGCTTTACTGATTTAAAATGTTCTTGTTACAAACATAAGCATTCAATGTTGTAAAGAAATGCTTCTCTTAAATACTACTTTGTTGTGTCCCCTAGACTTCACAATACTGTGTTTTCATTCTCATTCAATTCAAAACATTCTTCTGTTTCCTGGTGACATGGGAATTAGCCATGGGTAATGTAGAATTATATTATTTAGTCCTAGATCTGAGATGTTTTCTGATGACTTTCTAGTGTTGGTTTATCATTTGATCCTTTTGTGGTCAGAAGCAAACTATGTAAGATGTCAATGTCTTTTAACATATTGAGGTTTGCTCCAAAGCTGAGATATAGTTCATCTGCATTGGCTCTCTCAGTCTTCGTGTAAATAAGGAGGCTATGAGGGTATTATGAGATGTGATGGGGTCACAGGGCCAGAGACAAGCTCTCTCTGAAACTGCCCAATGCTCCTTGTTGGCAAAAGGAGAAAAGAGGTAGGCTCTGGGAGTCCTAATCTTCTGACTAGGGTCCACAAAATCCCAGAAGCCTGGATCCTTGCTGGACAACGATATCCCTAACATCATCACAGGAAGCCTGGATCTGGGCTAGAAAATGACATCCTCAACATTACCACAGTTTTCACGTCCTGAACTGTTAATGTGTGGCCTGGCCTTAGACTCAGGAAACAGGGTTTCATGATGGGGGCTGTGACAGCTAGGAGGTCACTAGAGATGATAGAGGGCATGTGGGGGAAGGAGAACCCCCCAATTATTGATTGTGTCTGCAAATGTTCAATAGATACATTAACCCCGAAATGCAACTTGTAAGAGATGAGGTCACTTGAGAGAGATGAAAATAATAGAACAGCCTGAAAATTTTTTAAAAGAATAGCATCCACTAGAAGAAATGAGACAAGGAGAAAAATCTCACTTGAAATCAAGTAAGAAGTAGAGATCAATAAACCCAACTGAAAATCATGGAAATGAAAAAATATGCTTATTAAAGTACAAGAATTGATGCAGTAAAACCAAGACTAGACACAATGAAAGAGGCTTTGGGTGAAGTTTAAGGAGTGCTTTCGGAAAGAGAACTAATGCCAGTGGCTCCGTCTCAAAGTAACTCTCAAAGAATCGTTCCTTTTCATTCCTTAAGGAATTCAACTCTGGTTTATAGTTTTAATATAGAGAAGGAAAAACAAGCATTTCTGTTGTGAGAGAAAAGGGAGCTCTGTGAGTTAATTGCTCTGATTAGTTAATGTCTCTCCATGGATGTTGTATGCCAGACTCTTTGTTCTTAGGGTCTCACTCACGTCCCACAAGAGCTCTTGGAGAAAATGTGTTTTCATTTGCCCAACACATAGACGCTAAGCAAGAACAACAGCATATTCACACAGTTGGAATTCAAATCAAGACCAAAGTCCACACTTTGCTCTCCACCTTCACTCATGGCCCAATGCTCCCATGTTTTCTTTGTTCACACCCGTCATTCATGGCCACTCAGTGATGCTTGGCTTTCCCTCTATAAAGTTACAGTGATCTGTCTTACTTCTTTGTCACACAAACTCTGTGACAGCTCAATAAAAGTGAACTAACGTTTTTGGGTACTCATGAGTACACACATACATACACCCAGCAATTTAGAATATCCTCCTTGTAGTGTCGGGCTCACTCGCTCAGCTGCAGACCTGGGGTTTGGTTTACTCTGCATTGTCTCTGACATACAAACGAAGGCAACACAACCAATTTTTTTTTTATCTCTCTTACAAGGCATTACATCCCTCCTCTAAAAATTAAAAATAATCCTTATCCTAAATATGTGTGGCAATGTCTCCTTTAAAAGTAATGAGGCAGCATTCCACATAGAGGAATACTCCCTGACACAGGGGTGGGCCTAGGCCCTATCCCAAAGGATATGATAGACTCTGATGAACCCTATGGAAGGCCTCAGCATCCAGGGGGAGCAGAAAGGATATGTGATAGGTCGGGTTTTTGTTGGGGGTGGTAGGGGAGGACAGGAGGGAGAAGGGAACTGGGATTGTCATGTAAAACAATCTTGTTTCTAATTCAAATAAAAAAATTTGAAAATCCCCCCAAAAGTAATAAGGCAGTTCAGTAATTAATAACAGTAATAATAATAATAATAATGGATAGGGATCTGGATTGTGACCCAGTGCAATTAGCCATCAGCTGTGCTGCCTCAGACACATCATCCAGTGTGCTAAAGAATCCCAGCTTCTCATTTGCTTTTGAGGGCATCCAACTATACTCACTCAGAATTCCCCTAAGATGAGACTGGACTGGAGTATTTGATTCTCAGTATAGGGTTCTTTCAGTATAAATAGCTATAATACTGCTTTTTTATATCAGGAAAACTACAGGTTTTTTAAGATTATATTTTATAATCTAGAAATTGATACATTGGATAAGTAGTATTATTTTCTTTTATAAGGAAAATAAAAAAATATCTCTTGTCTTTTTGGATTTGCTATAGTTTGGGCCTTTGATGCCCCTCCACAATGCCTAGGCTATGAAGGCCTATTACAAATGTAAGAGGTGTTGGTGGTGTTTTTAGGATTGGGTGCATGCTCTCAATGGGGCTTTGTCAGACTCCAGCTCCTCCTTGTCCTCAGTTTCATTCCCTTGCTCACAATGGGGCTAAAACCTGTGAGCTAAAAGAAGCTTTTTGTTTGTTAGTTGATTATATTTTATTTATGGTAATTTATCTGATTAATTGTATTGGTGGAAAGAAGGCCAACACCTTTACTTTATTTCACAATCATATCACAATTGACATTAGAAAGTAGATTCATCTTGTAAGTTATTTTAAAGAACCCCATGCTCCTCACCAAATAAAGTCAGCGCTGGACTTGATGAATGAAATGTATTGGGCTGGGCAGTGTCCGCTCCTAAGAGGAGTTTAGCATTGTGTTTGCTTTCAGAGCCAGCTGCTTGGCTTCCGTTCTACCATCTCAACTCATGGGTCCAAAATGGAAGGCCTGGAAAAAGAACTGAGTCATCTGGACCGTGAATTTGGAACTTTGCAAGAAAAGGTGATGCACTGAGTTAATTCCCTGAACCTTCTCCTTCTTTGGGGATAGTTTCAGTTTCTCTTTTACTCTAATTCACTGATAATGAGTATATTTTTCATATAGGCGCAAGTCAATTCCAGAAAAGCACAAACATTATATAACAACATTGATCAGACAATCCAAAGCGCCAAAGAATTGGACAAGAAGATTAAAAATGTCATCCAGACTGTGCACAGTAAGAAAAGTTACCTGGCCCAAGTAAAGCTTATTGCATAACCATTGTTGTATACTGAATAAGGAGTGTTTTTTTGAGAGCTCAGCGTTATGAGAGATCCCACAGTGGTACTTAAAGATGTACAGGACTCTCCATAAAGCTTCTAAAACCCCCAGTTCAATAAACTGCTTGATGTTTTCCAGTTCTCCTGAAGCCTC